TTCCAGTTAATTGAAATGGAAAAAAATGCAGCTCTCAAGTCACGGAACGACACGATTGAAAAGGGGCATCTGCAAGCTACCCGATGAGGGGCAAAGGAACATATATAACGATGTGGCATATTTCTGGTGTTAACCTTTGTAAAAACTAGGTTTCAAATAAAGCTGAATTTTGTCAAAAACTTGCACGTTCAACCTAACAATATCTATGTACCAAGAGCTAGTTCAAAATTTTAAAGTGATTTGATGTTAGCTCGTTCGCGTCTATCTATTATGCTAATGTCTTTGCTTGCAAATATTGCGATAGAAGGCTTTCATATCCGCAACAATGTCTACGATAGTGATCTGTTCTGTGCCTAAACTCTTTTTTTTTTTTTTTTCTTTTTTTTTTTTAACCAACAGTTAACGATTGAATTTAGAACAAATGCAAACTTCTAAAGCCTAAAATTTCCAGCCTTCTAACTTTAATAATATCCGAATAACAAGCAAAAATCCAAAAATTGTTGTTGAAAAAAAAAAAAAAAAAAGGATTTACGTTCAGTTTAGGCTCGACCGCGCGCTTCTGCTCCAAACGATTTGGCCCATTGTCAATACGAATCAATCTGCGTGCGGAAACTTCCAATGCTTCCATGCAATTTGAAGTTAATGCGACCAGGAGAGAGACAACAACACAGACTGACAGACGGACAGATATGGCTAAATCAACTCAGAATATCCCGCTAATCAAGAATATATATATATATATATATATATATATATATATATACTTTGTCACCGTGTCTGTGAAGCTTCCTTTTGGTTATTACATAAATTATGGACAAAAACAAAATGAGTATACCCCCGTTCCCCGTACAATGATGGGTATAAAGACGAGTCGATACTATCACTCAGAGAAAATCCTTTTCCATGGTATTTGCTTTTATTACTTAATTAAATGTCCGCATAGTTTAACGCTATTCATATAAATGTTCAGGCATCCGTATAGCGCGATATTATCGTACTTCAATTGTTACGTTTAATGTCATTATTGTCATTTTTTATATACATTTTCTTATATCATTTTTATTATATATCTTAAAGTCATTTACGCTTGCAATAAGTAAATATTTTTTTCTCACAATTTTTTTAAGCATTTTTTTAAATATTTTTATTAAAAAATAGTAGCAGCATATTTACAAATATGATATGTCGATCAATAAATTCCAGGATTGAGTAAGAAAAATATTGAAAAATTTGTTTGTTGTTGTTTGAATAGCTTCGCCTTAATTCATCCACATAGTGTCTAATAATTTCTAAGGTCTATCTGGAGTCGCATCCTTTCAAGATTGACAATCGATGGATCTGTGGAATACGGCTGACCGAATTGTAATTCGAACAGCTTCACATTGTTAGATTTCGTCATTACAGCCATCGACTTGTGTTACACAGTTACATTTGTTACACAATGCATTGGCTTGACGTGAGGGCAGTCATCCGTCATCGAAAGATACGGCGTGTATACGTGTTGTCAAAATGTTTGCAATAGGAAATTTTGGAGAACGAAACTTCAGAACGTTGATGTGAACGATCAACATCATCCATCTGGGCATCACTGTCCGTCTGTCTGCTTAATTGCCGGTGGTAAACGCTCTCGTGCCATCTTCAAATTCAGCATGAATACTGGAAATTGTTGTGCGTGGATTGATATTGAAATATGGTTAAAAGATATGTCCACAGTACAGTCAATGCATCCGCTGCCTTGCAGAACAAAAATACGGATATGTTGCTCATTACTCATAAACTGCAGCAATAAATAATTGCGTGTTCTTTTTTAATATAAAGGTGGTGGATATAGAAGATTTGGAATAATATAATTATCTTCCCTCCTCTTCTGCCATATAACTTTTGTTATGCAGCATTCTTCTTCTTTCCGGATAGTCGAGAAATGGTGTGCATTGCGTATTCCAAAATGTTTAAAGATTACAAACGTACTTGCTGGGCGGGCGCTTTGTATTCAATTTTCATCAAATCATTTCCTTTCAGCGGAACGTTTATTCGATTTACAAGTAGAATGCTAGGTCCCTTGTTTCGTCCATTGTCGTACACGGCATGAAAGAATCCTTTTTATTGCGGTTAAACAGTGCTACGACTACCAAGTCCGAGTTCTTTGGCCGTGACTACAGTGACTGCTGACGGGGCAAAGGCATTTACTTTCCTCTATCTCTTGCTCTTTCGTCATTTTGTCACCGTGTTGCAGGAGTGGGTGAAATCCCCTGCATAATTGGTCACATCAAAAAAAAAAAAAAAAAAAAAATTGTTTTCCATCGTTCGTAGAGACACGACACGCACTTGATGAACAGCTGACTCTTGCCATAATATCAGAGCAAACTAGTGAACGCATTATCTTTCGACACTTTTAGTCTTGCCAGGTGTTTTTAACAACTTCACTTTTTCATCTCAGTGTTTTATCCTATAACCACCTCACCTCCTTGTTTTCAACATATCAAAACTAATTAACAGCTATTAAGTTCGTGGCGGCAGTCCATAGGTAGGCGAATAATGTTTTATCAGAATTTGAAAAGCGCCGCTAGAAGATTGCCAGTTTTCAGAAATATTATGTGTCAGTCCCGGAAATTATTGACTAATATGCTACAGCATACGTAGATTGCGTTCAACTTTTTAACAGAGTTGCCAGGTTTTCATTTTCAATTAATTGATGCATAGGCTTTTAAAAAAATTATAAAATCAATTCTTTTATTTCATTGAAACGAACACTTCCACTCGCCCCAATCAAACATTTACCTTCTCACACACAATAATACGTGAGTCGAGATATAATTTTTGCTCTTAACATTAATAACTTTTGAAACTAGAGCCTTAGGTGCTTGGGCCCACATACGAGACGAGTGTGTGTTTACGAAATTTAAATCGGAAAAATTCTAGCAATATTTGTACTGTTTTCGACAATAGTTACAAACAATGTAAAATCGACAGAGATGAGAGTTTATCGAGAAGAACTTTATTCAAAACTTGGCCAAAGTTTTTTTTTGAATAGTTGTTCTTAGCGCTCTGCGTTTTTGCCGATGTGTCCGTTAAGTTTTGTATTTGATTCAACTAAACTCCTTATGCTCCTTATGCGGTACACTTGCTGATGATTTGTAAAATCATTCGAATTTGATCGCTTAGCTCGTAAGTAACTAAATGGCAATTGTACAGGCATAACTCTCACGGCATGCAACCGAAATAAACTAAGACGGGTAGAGCATCTAACCAAAATAGTTGCAGGCTTTAGAATGCATTGACGCTTTAGTCTTTCTCACTTTTTCCCCAGTTTTCATAGAAGGGAAGAATCTTCTTTGGTTTTCTAGCAAACTATGCGAGATTTTCACAAAATGGTTTTTTCTTACCTTCAGTTTGGTATAACAAAAAAAGAAAAAAAAATTTTTTTGTATTTAAACCATAATTAAAAGGTCTTTGCTTAATTGTAGTCACTTTTTCCAGCGAACGGATATTGACGAATTTTGCACTTTAAGGCTACGCGTCGCTGAATTATTTTGTCGATATGCAATAATTGAAATTTCTTTCCAAAAACCGTAAAGAAATGAAAAACATTGATTTCGATTCCAAAAATTATACTTAGAGGACCCATTTCCACGAAGTACACGAAGGGAGACCTGTAAAGTTTTTTTTTTAAATTTTCGTTTCAACTTGAAAAAGTGTGTACCGTCTAATCGGGGAACGCGTGCAGGCTTTAAAAGTCTCGACACAAGTTCGCTTAAACCACGGTATAAAGGGAAATCTGCCCTTGTCATGATTGTTCCTGTGAAAAATCAATTGATTTTTTAGCTGATAATAGAAAATTTTTGTTTATTGCAGTGCCCTGGCAAAGGCCCGAAAGATATGCTGATTTCTCTTTCCTCGATTTTTGAAAGCCTACTTTATTATCTATCTATGAATAGTAAATTATGATCTTTTGCCTATTTACAAATTTGATCTGCTTGACAGGCCATGAACCAATAACCTATATATTCATATATATATATATATATATATATATATATATATATATATCATATGTCAAATGTCAATTTTCTATCGCAGTTGTTGCGATCTTTACATTTTCACAGACGACAGATAAACAATGGGATGGGCGTGCGGCTAATCGTCTGAATTCTGAGCTAATCAAGAATGGTTAGCGGGGCATACATAAGACTCGGTCACAAACAAACGCCTGATTCAAATCTCGTTTACTCTAGTATTGTTGGGTATTTAAGATTCACTTTAAAGCTAACTTGGATTCAGTGCAATTATTTTCCTTTTAATCTAATCTAATGTAAACTAATTACGGAACATTTATTGCTCTTTTCCTTTTTTCTTTCTTGTTTTATCAATAACACATAGAAATCTATTTTGCTGGCAACTCTGAAAGCCTATATACATATATATATATATATATATATATGTACATATATATATGTGTATGAATGAATGTACTGTTAAAGCATCATTTAACGCTTTTCTAGTCACTTGCTAACTTGACAGCAAAAACTACATAAGATTTTGTTGTTATGCACTACCGACGACATTGTACGCAGCTTTGAATGAAATGCAAAAATGCACATTAACGTTAACTGCAATAATTAAAAGAAGTAATGATTGCTTTGTGACGTGTGTCAATGCGTGGTAGCGGGTATATGAATATGTGTGTGCGTGTTTTAAAAAATTAAAATATGGAAACGCGTAACAACAAACAATTAATAAAAATTAATTTTCATGATTTACAAATTATTTGTTTGTGTTTTTTTTTTTTTTTTTGCTTTTTGCAAAAGAAAAAATCGCTAATAAGCGTTTTTGTGCGTTGTACGAATTCGTTATTAATTGAAAAGCACGACAAGACAAACGGGCAAAAGATAGTCGTATTGCCTGTTGCATCTTTTATTTGATTTCATTTTGTGTGTTTTCTTTCTCTAATATTTTTGCACAATTTTTTTTGTCATCTTTTTCGACTTTAAATAAATAATAAAACCAAAAAAAAACAAAAAAAAGAAAGCAAAAAAAATAAAAATAAAATAACGAAAGGCGGTCGTCAGTCGCATCTGTGTTACTCTTGTGTTGTTTGTGTTGCTCTTTTTTTTTTTTTTTTTTTTTTTTTTTATATATCGCAAATATTTAGCACAAAATTTATTTTAATATTTCTGTAGAGCGAGACTATTCGCTTGTCTTCTTTCTCTTCTTACTCATAATTGGAAATAAAATCATAAAAATTTATTTTTACGAAAAAGAATTTCCTTTCGAAAAAGCAAAGAAACCATTGACGTTAATTTTGTCATTGGTTCGCTGATTATTATTTAAGCCTGCAATGGTGGTGGTGGTGCTGTTGCTGCTGCTGCGGTCACTTTGTTGTAAAACAAAAAAAGTTTAGCTGAACAAAAAAAAAAAACTCAAGTTAAATTCCTGTACTTAACACTAAAAATCCACAAAAACCAAATCAAACAACATAAAAGAACCTTAAAAAGCAAAAACAAAAACTTTAATTGGATTATAAGTCAAATATGGTGCCATTGAAAAGGTCTTTCCGCCAAGAATAAAAAAATTAATTTACACAAAAAAAATAAAAGACAAGAAAAGAAAAGATTATTAAAACCGTATGGACAAACAGTGTTTTCTTTTTAAAATACTCGCAGAGTCAAATATTATTGTGCATTTTTTCTAAAAAAAAACTTATTATTAATAATAAGAGGAAAAGCTGTTATTATTGTCATAAAACTATGGCCGAGGTTTGTGAAGATTCATAATCATTGCCGCTGCTTTCGTATACGTTTATATAATTATGAAATTTGCATAATTAAATGCTTAAATGCTAAATGAAAAGTTTTCTTCATTCATTGCATTCGCGTCATTGCCTTCATTCCGAGATTGCCTTTAATTAATCGTTATTGATACCGTGCCTTAATTGATTTAAAGCGCGAATGAATATGAACCAAGAAAATTGATGAAAAGCAAAAAAATGAAGAGAAAAAAAGTCAACCTGTAACCATTTCTCGAACTCTTAGGCAATAGCAATACTACTAAGAGTTTTCTCCCGGTTTTTTTTTTTTTTTTTTTTTTTTAATATATAATCTCGCCCTTTGGATGAATGAATTCGCTTCTCATTCTTCTAACATTAGGTCGAGTCATAAGTAACTTTCGTTTTTTTTTTTTTTTTTTTTATCATTGAATAACAAAATTATATTAATTTATTATGTATTCGTCACCTGACAGTTTATCCTTATCATTCTTTGTAAAATGTGATTAATTTGGACAACAGGCTGACTGACTGACTTGCTCTTTTTCCATTCAAAAAGTTTTGCCTGAAATGGAAAAGGTGGTGGGGTGTTGTGTGGTGGAGCAAGGTCCGAGCAGTAAGATGGATACACCATCCAAGCTCAAGGATTTTTTCTTGAGTCAAGCATTGTCCTCTAAAAAAAAGCAGGACGTTTTTGCGATTGATGGATACCAAACACTTTTCAGGGAATTTCTCTTGCTGGGCATAACATATACCACATAAAACTGTCGGCAGAAGACTAACGGAACCCTCGTCTATATAGTCAACACATAAACTTGTTTGTTATGTTGACGAATACGAACAATAAATTTCAACTACCCCGATCGGAAGTTACTTATGACTCCACCTTATCGCCATAACGGCAAAGTTCAGTTTATTTTTATGCTCACCATCCAAGAACAGAAATACATTGATTTTATCACAACGTTTGCAACACAAATAACATATACAAAGTATATGTATACTTGAATTGATCAAGGTGTATCAATACGTCCATAAAACTACTTTGGGTCGCAGAAGTTAAGATATCCTCGTTAAAGTTGGCAAAAGCCATTGAAAATTCTTGCAGGCAAATAGTTATTGGAAAGTAACCAAGTCCAACGCGGAAGAATGCACCGATCCAATGCAATATAAACTACGAATCTATCAATAAATTCATATTTATAATAATACCAGAATAAAAAAAATGGGAAAATGAGAAAATATTGAAACAAACTTCACGATCATATAGAATGTCAATCAAACCTACTTTGAATAATATTTGATCTAAACTTGGACTTTTTTTCTATTCTCCTCTGTGAAGAATTATTTAGCGAGAAGTTTTTAGAGCATTTAGTTGGGTATTAAAGTGCATTCTTAATAATAGCGGCATGTTAAGGTGAAAAACAAAACAAAATCGCATGAGAGAGAAAAATCTGTAGGGCTGCGGAATTTTTTTTTATCGATAGCCATTGGCGACAAAAAGACATGAAAATCGATATAGCGGTATTTTGCGAACCACTTCCAGTATTACTCTTCGCACATAATTTTTTCCATTTTTTTTTTTTTTCACACCCTACATCACCTGTAGTTCAGGGCCTATTAACTTTGTGTGGAGAATTGTGACTTACAGAAGGACTTAGAATAAACCCACCTTTTATTGTAGCGATTGATCTAAGCGTATGTGTCCATCTGGTCTCTGTCCATGCATTTTTGTGTTCAATCTACAGGTCGCGATGACGCGTTTTGGTCAAAGGATGAGCTCTATGAAAAATTAAGTTAATATTTTATAATGAAAATTTGTCCTTAGTTGACTTAGACTATAAGAATTTTGAATCACATAGATCTATTATTTAGGTCGAAGCATTTCTATGACGACAAAGTCTAATCGCACATAAACTGAAAAAGAATATCACTTGGACTTGGTTTGCTGTCCTTTTGAGTATCGTTCAATATGAGGACTTTCCAGAAAATAACGCATTCGGTGTATTATTTAGAAAAGGAGCAAATGAATGTATTAGATAAAGCGGTGTAGGCTATCTAATTGTTGATCTGACCCGACTATAGCGTTATTACTTAGCTTCTTCTTAGTCAGATCCAGATTGCAGACTACGTAGAAGACTCCTGGTATACCAGCGCGGTCCGATGGTTAACGCAAAAAAATGCTTTTACAAATTTGAATCATTATTTAGCATAAACCTATTGGATCGTATTTTAAAGCAGAGTGTATATGTCTCGTACAATCCCCATACTTTTTTTGCCAAAGTTTTATATATGTATTTACTAAAGTTAATGCAACTTCCCGGCGCAATTCATTCAAATATAAATTTATTACTTATTTGTTAAGAGTACGCCTGATCTAAGTGTATCGGTGTTATTGAAAACTCTATCGCACTTGAGATTTCAACTCACAACACTTAAGTTGCTAGTTAGTCGAGACCCTTGGCCTATTCGGCCATTCAGGCGCATAATTATAATATAATAACTTTTTAACATTTATTGATCGAATATTTTTCACACTTTATAGCTGATGGAGTCGAGTCTCTTTTTTTAATCGAAATTTGCCTTCTTTATATCTTCTGTACAACAACTAATAAATCTTAATTTATATATTATTGCGCGCTGAATATGCGAGAATATATGATTTACATTTTCGCTCAATTCACTGATAATGATAACCAACCTGTATATGATTAAAATCGAATGATAACTTTAGAGGAATCGCTTTAAACGTATTGCAAATTTACGATAGTAGTCCAAGGTCAAGGTGACCTCCTAATTGTAAACTTCAAAAAAATTCTTTACGATTTTTAACTATACGAACACATTATCAAATACCTATATTGGTACTGGGGGGATAAATTAAATGTGGACGAAAAGACTTGGAATATTTTTGAATCGATAGAACCTTGTTTGTCCGTCTGTTTGTTGTCTATCTTCTTTTATTTTTTGGTGAATCTGTAGGCGACAATTTTTGGAGGTGATGTGATGGAACTTCATATACCGTCCTGTTTTGACCCAAAAACGAATGCTATTGAAAATGGCTCGCTGATGACTTCGATCACTAGAAGAACACAGCTGCGCCCATTCCATATTATAGAGCATGAAAATTTTCTTCTTTTACTTCTGTTGGCCTTTGTTAAGATAACGGTGATGGCTATAAAATATTCTTTTTTTCTTACAGGTCTTTATATTATTATTTTCCAATCTAGTATCTAGAATCTAGTAAGCAAGCGGACATTGTAATTTAAACCAAATTGTCCAGTGCAGTGCGCCACCATTAGCCGGTATATATATTATCCGCCTGAGTAGCCGAAGGGGAGGAATCTCGACTAGCAAGTCAATGGTCGTGGGTTCGAATCTCAAGTGCGGTAGAGTTTTTAATAAAAAGCCGATAGCCTTAGATGCTAGTGCTTTTAAGAGTTTAGTCTTAGAATTTATTTCTCTGGCGAAATTAATAATAATAGTAATAATAATAATAGCCGGTATATTAATAACTATTGTAATAAGCAAAGTGATGTAGGGTATTTAACGGTTGGCCGTGGTCCAACACAATTGTTGTTGTAATGATTGTTCTTCTTCTTAGGCAGTAAGCAAACGCATACTAATTAATGCGTTTCTATGTTCATTGCAATTAACAAAGTCTTGAAAATTTGAGATGAAAGCAAGAAATGCTTCCTTTGTCTCCTGTCATGCGATCAATTCGTTCATGCGTCATATGGAAACTATATTAAATAAATAAATTTTGAAATTATTTAAATGCAGAAAATGTGTCAGATGAAATTGCACCGTGTTATAAGAAAGTCATTACCGCTTTTTAAGAAATTCGTAACTAATATAATACAAATCAAACGAGTTCGTATCGCGTCATATAAAAGCGACAAAGAAAGCTATTTTCTTCATTGTTCCCCCCCCTTTTTTATCGTAATTTTCTAATAACTGTCAAATGTCAAAAATAAAACTTAACCCATCGGAATAATTGCAACCATAGATAATATTTTTCCAATCATTTGACTTGTTGGTATTCTTTTGTGCGAAAGACGTTTGACAAGGAGAGACAGACGGGAGCGAAACGCAATTGTAACGAAAGGAAAAAAAAAAAAAAAAAAAAAAAAAAAAGAGAAAAGTAGAAAAACTCGCCCCAATACGTTTGCATTAGTTACCCGGCCCAGATGAAGTTTGGCGCGATCATTTGTGAGTCCGTCCATCTATCATTGGGAAGAAACTATAATAAGCATATAATCAATTTGCAAATGTTGACTCAAAAGCTAGAAGAGTTGACCTAAGAACAAATAGTTGCTAAAATCGTCTTAACGATCGATAAAATGCTTTACTAGCTGAAGTTTGTCGGCATCAGGAAGCCTAACAACAAAAAACTTTTTTCATTTTTCTTCTTCTTTCACAACTGATTACAGAAAGAATATTGAATTAACGTATGGAGGCGAAAAAGTGTGATTCGAAAGCTTTATAAAGCGTATACAAGCTGGTTATCGATATTCATAGGCGTAGCGTTGTGTCAGAACGCATTTCTAAATTCTCCAAAGTTTTGATCAAAATTTTATATCGGTCACGGCCGTAGTCTTCACGTGCATTAGCGTCGTGCGAACACGTATTATACGTATTGCGTGAAAATGTTCGAATTAGTAAACGGCCGAACACTCTTTCCAGTAAGTGATGAGTACCGTGAGTACCGAGCAAAGCAAAAGGATGCAAAGTCAATGACGTGATAAGGTCTCCGCTTGACGATACAATGTATTACATACGTAGCTAGCGAAAGGATCGAGTTATTGGAAATAAATAGAACGGGGAGAGATGCCTCTGTAATGAAGAATTAGTGAATAGCTTGAACACAACGTGTGTCTGCTTTAATGTTGAGCTCATGATTGTGTGTGATTGACTTGAGTACTTTACATGTTAACTTTTACAAATTTTTACACTCGCTTCCAACTTAAAAGTTTTCTAAAACGAATGATACGGTCAATACGATCATCATGTCATTTAACAATTACATAGAAGAATGGCGACTAGTTTTCCAAAGCACGTCACGTCATTTTTCTTATGTTAGGTTTTTGCATCAATATTGATCACTTTTCCACTTGAAAAAGGCATTTATTAGGGAAAATTGGTAAAACATATATTAATCAAAATAGTTTCCATCATTTCCTACAACATTTCACACACCTAAAGAACTTATATTGGCTTGGCAGCGATCCATCCACCGCATCGACTACTTTCGCACTTCTTCAATTTGGCGGAACCGCATGCCAGCCAGGCAGGCTATGCTGTATAGATCTGAACAAGTAGTGATCGGGAAGCGCCTTATCGGGTGAATACGCTGCACGTGACAGAATTTCCCGTTCGAGCATATCCTGGACAACTGGACACCCTGGCAAAAAATGGTATTTTCAGTCAACTTGTGTCGCCACATGCAAGTCGTTGAATCCAAAATCGACCATTGGGCTTCGGGAGCAGAGTTCTTCAAATAAATATCAAAAATAATTAGTTTGGAAGAAGAAGAATTTTGAGCGCTGCATGATTAGCGTCTGCGTACGCGGAATAAATTAATAACAATAGATGGAAAAATGTTATTTTATGTAGAGGAAGGTCAAAATCATCGAAATCAACCGTTACGTACACTGATATTTCCACATTTCTTTTTCCTTTACCTGTACAAGTCGCTGATCAGAATTTTTGCAAACACCTAATATCAATTTTTTATTAAATAAATACAAAAAAAAGAAGAGAGAGGAAAAAAAAATCAATAGATTGGTATCGAAAAAAGGCTCGTAAGGTGTAAGCAGAATATAATTCTTTCTTGTTGTTGTTGTTGTTGGTGTTGATGGTGTTTTGTTCGTTCTCCTAGAGAATTACTACTGATGATAATAATGATGATGATGACGATGACGATGACGATGACGATGATGATTATAATTTGTGCATAGTTGTTGATAATGTTTGTACAGCAAATGACTTGCTTTAGATCTCAGCATGCGTTCGTTTTTCTTATTATTATTATTATTCTGCACTTCAATGACGTAAATCATCACTAGAAATACAAAAATTTTGCTGGCATTGCAATAAAAATAATTGCAATTTTGTATTTTTGTATATTTTTGTATTTTTTTTTTTTTTTGTTTGCTTATTTTTTCCTCCAACAATTCCATGTTTGATTAGATTTTTATTTGATTGCTTTTAGTTGAGAAAATCTCTTACAGAATAATAATTTTATTTAAATTGTTTTGAATTCGCGGAATCCGAACAACAAGATCGTGTCCACTTCGCCTAAATTGACCGTTAAGGGACTTGACAAAAAGTATTCCAAGTGCGCATTATATATTTACGCTTAACGTTTGCCTAATCAAGAATGCTTCAATGTTGTTGCACTGACGCTCTGACTGGCGGGACAAACTAATGAAAATATATCTTCTTTTTTTTTTTTTTTTTTTGGTAATCAAAGTTAATTCGTTTTACTCAACGAAGTTATTTGATTTTAACAAGACCTGTCGCTTCCTATCAGCTCGTACAGCTAGACTTGGAATATTCGTATGAATTCATTAAGATTAACAATTGCGCTTATATGTGTGTGGCAGGCATTATTATTATTAGTATTATTATTATTATTATTATTATTATTATTATTATTATTATTACCTCATGTCACCTCAGATATTCTTGATTTTTGTACTTTTTCCCTTGCTTTCCTTTTCGTGAAATTCTTCTTGGCCATCTAAGGAACAAGTGAAATTGGATGCGAACAAGCAAGTCACTAGTCCAGATGATTGTGATGATCTTTCGCCGATGCCACAAACAGCTGCACCGCCTGTACGCAGACGTGGCGGTATATCTGCTGAACCAGTAACCGAGGAGGATGCCACTAGCTATGTAAAAAAAGTTGTACCCAAGGATTATAAGACGATGGCTGCATTATCGAAGGCCATTGCAAAAAATGTCTTATTTTCACATTTAGATGAAAACGAACGTTCGGATATTTTCGACGCAATGTTTCCGGTAACACATCTATTGGGTGAAAATATTATACAACAGGGCGATGAGGGCGATAATTTCTATGTTATCGATCAAGGGGAAGTTGAGGTATGTGCGTGCAGCAGAGCAGTATTTCTGTTTATTTACTTATTTTTTTTTTATTTTTTTTATTTTTTTTACAATTTTTTTCTCATTATTTATTATAATTTTAGGTTTTCGTTAATTCGGAAATGGTAACCACTATTGGCGATGGTGGCAGCTTTGGTGAATTGGCTTTAATTTATGGTACGCCGCGTGCCGCTACAGTGCGTGCCAAAACTGATGTTAAACTTTGGGGCATCGATCGAGATTCATATCGTCGCATTTTAATGGGATCCACTATACGTAAACGTAAAATGTACGAAGAGTTCTTATCTCGGGTTTCTATATTGGGTGAGTTCGTTTTTATATTAATGCTAAAGGAAAAAAAACAAAAAAAACAAAAAATATTCTCCAATCATCATATTCACACGCGAACAGAGAGTCTCGACAAGTGGGAACGCTTGACGGTAGCAGACGCTTTAGAACCGGTCTCATTTGAAGATGGCGAAACTATTGTTAAGCAGGGCGAACCGGGCGATGATTTTTATATTATCGTGGAAGGCTGCGCAGTAGTATTACAAAGACGAGCTGAGGTTAGTTAAATTTTCGTCTTTTTCTTTTTTTTTTTTTTTATTATTTATTTATCTGCGTTTTACTTTAATTTTATTTCATTTTAACATAATTTTGTTTGGTAGCAAGGTGACGAGCCAGCTGAAGTTGGTCGTCTTGGTCCCAGTGATTATTTCGGTGAGATTGCTTTGCTTTTAGATCGTCCACGTGCCGCAACAGTTGTTGCCAGAGGTCCTTTGAAATGTGTTAAATTGGATAGAGCGAGGTAAGTAAGCGGGAACAATTTCCTAAACTAGACTAAGCTAGACGTAAGCTTATGAAGAAAAAAAAAAAAGGAAAAAAAAGAAAGTTTATGCTTCAATTTTATTCATAGTCATTTGAAACCAAGTCCGCATCGAGATAAAAATTATTTTCCAAAAAGCGCCTTGTTTTCTATTTTCACAGCAGAAATTGTAACTTTTTTTTTTTTTTTTTTTTTTTTTTTTTTTTTTTTTGTAGACAGAAAGGACATTATTTGTATCAATCGACCTTAATCACAATAAAACTAGCAGTGACAGAGACCACCATTTTTATTTCGTTTATTATATTCAGCAATAAAACAAAATGAATGATTGAGTGAATAAATTAGTCAATAATGTATTTATTTTCGAGAATATTCTCTCTACTCTCCTAATCTCTTCAGGTAGTTTCCTCTTGCTTTCAAATCTCATCTATATATGATATTTATAGTCATTTACTTGATTCGCCGAATAAACCTGAATAGTATATAACAAATAGATAATACCATATCCGTTAAATTAATATAGTCTTCAACAATCTTAACTTAGCCATTGCAAGAAGATCTTACAAAACCGAAGCTATATCTTGTCAATCATGAATTTTCGCATCCAGTTTATCCGATCAGTGAATGAATGAAAGGCTTCTTGTTTTTTAAAAAGTTTGTGTCAAATTTTCTTGATTTCTTTATAGCTTCTTGGCGGTTAATTGTCGCACATCTCCAGGACTTAAAATTTAAAAATTCATTTTTTTTTCATTAAAAAAGAAAATTTGCATATATTAAGTAAAATACGTCTCTTGCACTTTTTGACCCGAAATCCTTCTGCAAAATATATTATCATTATGATTAAATTAGCCAGGGAACTAACTTCCAAGACTGAAGCCTTCAAACCTTATTGAAAACCCTAAAGCACTTAAGATTTGAACAAACACAATTATTGAGTTATTGGTCCGGAATTCTTTGCCTAGTCGGCGACTCAATCAATGCAGCATTTACTTTGCCCTTAAGACGGGAATATCCATTTAGCGACTTTACAAAACATGATTTACTGTTACCCTGTTAAGGAATTAAATTATTTTCAATTAAAGAATTGAAATATTGTGCGATTTTCAATGTTTTGAACAAACATGTCTCGTTTTATTGGTTAAAACACATACACGAACAAATTGAGAAGTCAACTTGAAAGTTTCTATCAGGTTCAGAGAGACGGCAATAAACCTTCAGAATATAAGTATAGTCATTTTTCTTTCCTTGATTGTGTTGCTTATCTTTAGGTGTAATTTTATTTTTCTTTTAATTAATAATTCGTTTTTCATATTTTTTTTTTTTTTTTTTTTATCATTACAGATTTGAACGTGTTTTAGGGCCCTGTGCCGATATACTAAAGCGCAACATAACGCAGTACAACAGCTTCGTTTCACTATCCGTTTAAGCGGTTAAAACGTAAAAACTATTAAAAAAAAAAAATAAAAACAAAAAAAAAAAACGAAAAAAGAACATTTTTTAAATATTAAATGAAAAATTATCAGAAATAAAAAAAACTGAAAAATATTTGCAACACAAAGAAGAACACTACTCTTACTGATTAAAATGGATTATTTAAAAAGAAGAAGAAAAACAAAAAAAAAAAAAACGGAAATACAAAATTTTACATCAAACTAACAACAATTTTTAATAATGCGCGCAAATAGCTAAATAAACTAAACAACATAAAAATATATAAAGTATAAAAACATAATTTTGTAAAACACATTAAATATTCAACCAAACAGCAACAGCCAGAATTTTAGAAAGGAAACTGAAAAAAAAAGAAAAGCAAAGCTATCTTTTTGGTTGGTTAGGCTAAAAAAATTTTCTTAATTTCTCCATCTACTGGGCGACATATAGGATTGTAATGGTTACATTAATACTACGTGCATTGTACTAAATTGAAAAAGTATTTTCAAAACTATTTTTGTTTAAAGAATTTAACACTACTTTCATTACTACTTCATTCATACTTTTCACTTCAAGTCAAGAAAATATACGAAACGCATACGATATGCCGCTGACTGAGTAAATCTTTGATAAAGTGACTTACTCTCTACTCGTTTAATATAAATCGTAAAATAGTCAATCTTATGATTTATATCAATCTACGCACTCTTATCAAATATTTATGAAGCACTGCTGCTTAGTAAGTTGAAGCGACAGTTGCATGAATGATTATGTTTACAAATTACTGTTACCTACGATCTGAAGAATATGCAACAGTCTTCGATGAATCAATTTAAAAAGAAGAAGAAGAGGAAGAAGAAGAAAAATACTATATAAGTACATGTTCTGTGCTTGACAAAGCAACAAATTGTTATTGCTGCACCAGATAATTTAAAAATATATGTATATATGTAGGATGCAACAATAAGACAGCTTTGACTTCAAATGGCCCCATAAAAAGAAATCCACTGATGATGGTGGTGGTGGTGGTGGTGGTGGCATTAGATCGCATGATCTCCATCAATATTTCGACTATGGTTTGCAACGAAATTTGCCAAATATCGCCACTAAACCTTCATTACTTTTGACATATTGCTTAGCAATGAAAATGCGTAGATCTCTCGGACGTAATAGGTCATAGTTGTTTTTAATTGTTTTTTATTCCGGGGAGGGTTTCTTGCCTGTAAATTAACTTTACCACATAAATGGCGGAAAATTCGAAAATGTTTAATACTTGCATTCATCATTCATTTCGCTACATATGCTGACACTTAACCAGCTTAGATTTTCCCTCTTGCTTAATATTGCTTAATTGAATATACTAAAAGAAATTTAATCTTTATTTTTACATAAATAAATAATCTCATGTCGGCTTAATAAGCGGTGCGTGCGATGTTTTCCTCTGCTTTGCAGAGAGCTTGTTAAGTAACTTTGCAGTTAGAATTTATTTTGCATATATAAATTAAACATGTTCAAGATATTCTCGAACCATTCAAAAAGATTTGTATTATTAACCGGAACACACTTGGTAGATGGAATGGGATGATAATGATGATGGCATATAATAAAATAACTAAACTGCATAAATTTTCTATTTTCAAAATTGCCTAACCTTACAAAAAAAAAAAAAAAAAAAAAAAAAGAGAAAAGTAATCGAAGCTTCTTACTGCTATTAACTGTTATTATAAGATGTTTCTCATAAATGAATAATCATCATCTTTAATTAATATCTTTTTACATTCGATATTATTTTTATTATTATTATTACTATTATTCTTTTTTTTTTCTCTCTCTCTCTCTTATAAACAATAATTTGTAAAAAGATGTCTTTAACATATGTTGAACAATTTAAAAAAATTTGCAAAAACTCCAATGATTTTAATTTCATTCGTTTATTTACTATTAACCAATCTGTCTGTGTCTCTCTATCTAGATAAGTGATTGAATAAATTTTTTTCAAAAATATAAAAAGAGAATAAGAGAGCAGTTTTAAGCATAATTCTCTTTAAGAAATAAGAAATGAAATCATTTATACGAGTGCATGCATGCGTTATGCAACGTGTTCGCATTGCTGTTACAGGGCGATATGAATGTTCATACAAATGTTAATATTATGGGTATGTTAAACAAATATCAATTTTCCTCATATTATATAAATATTTACATAAATGAAAAATGTACGTAAAATATCAATCGTTTTAATGAGAAAGCTAAAGCTATATATGCAATGATTAAATAATACATCTCTTCCTTTCTTTTTGTTTTCATATCAAATTTCACGATCGTGAGCCTTATACCCAAGAACAAGTATACACTGGCAATTAAATTTTGCATGATTATGTAAAAAAAAAATATTATGTTTTTAATGAATCTAAACAGTGCTGGCGCCTATAATATGAAAATTTATTTAAAAATCTTAAAAAAAAGAAAAAGAAAAAAAGATGAAAAAATATTAAATATACAATAATAATATACTATAACAAGTAATGTATAATAAACATTATGTGTAAAGATATAATTACTACGTCCATACACACACATACATGTATACATATATATATATATATATATATATATATATATATATATATATATATATATTGTTGTTGTTGATTACCCGCCGGCGGGTTTAATATTTTTCGTTTCACTCATTTATTTGATTATTAAAAAGAATTTGTATAAATGACATAAATTTTATGAATTTTTTTTTTTTTTTTATTAATATAAATTATTTATATAAAATTATATTAACATGAAGATTTTTCGTTTTCTTAGTTACATTTTTTTTCTTTTGTTTTCCCTTTTATTTTCTTATTTATTTATTTATTTGCTTTACTACCAGCCACAAGGTAAAATGGATTAAATACGATATTTATATCGTTCGAAGGATTTAAAAGATTATTGCAATATTTGTAGAATCTCAAAACCGTCCACTTATTTTTAACGCAGAGCGTTACTTTTTTTACCAAAGTTTGAGAGGATGCACTGCTTTTATGACTCTATGTTCGTAGACGTAAGCGATGTTCCGTGGAAATCCTATATGATATTTTGTGCTTGCGATCAGTTCTACCAAGTCTGTGTATCATTGAAATTCTCAAACATCACAAGACGTCAGCGAGAAAATGATGATATTTGTGTTACGTATCGCCTTTAAGATTATGCGCTTAAAAATATTGCTGAAGTTTCTAAAAAAGACGTAAAAATATAAAAATATGAAGATATTTTATGGGTCAAAATGGTGTCGATCGATCAACTGACACACAAAATATATTACAACAAAGAATAACTCGGGCTCGCTATACGAGTAAATCGCGCCGGCAACAAAAAGCCAGCGTAAAACAATCGCCGCAAAAAGTATAAGCAAAATTTTTTACTTTTGGGCCTAACAGGCAAAAGAGGATAAGTGAGAAAGGGAAAGTGATCAAGCAAAGTGAATATGGTAAACTTTTCTAACTCACCTTAGAATTTCTTCCTAACATTAGCAGAGGAGAAAATAGACTTGGAAAGAAGAGAAAACACCAAAAAGGTTACTTTCTGAAAAGGCCGGCAAATTGAGGAGAGGGAAAGATGCCGATTCAATTCCTTAGCCCTTCATAACCAGCAGATCACTGCTCTTACATTAGCTAAGATGAATTTTAAGCTATAAAACAATGCAATTTGGACGAAACACTTGCTTAATCTGAAGGTAGTAAAAAAAAGATTCGAATAGACTACGTAGCTTTTCGGCTTGAAAGCTTTGTCTTGTTAAACTGTCTGCGAACGTTCTCACCACCTTGATCGATATGATTACTATAACTCGTTTCACCGGTAAGCTTCAGATATATCGCAAACGTGTCGATGTGATATATGTGGAATTTTCGCATCCTAGTGCTCAGCGCTCAATACTACAAATTTTCTTGGGGTGAATATTTAGTATTTTAACTAGCGATCGACTCAACATTTGCAGTATTAATCAAGTTTCAAAATTGATTGAATTCTTCTATAAACGGGTTTCTTATTAATCTCGAACCTCTTGAATCTTTAAAACAAAAAAAAAGTATATAAATAAAAAATTCAATAGTCTGCAGAGACGTTAAACCGCATTTTAAATATCCTTAGTAAGTTTGTTTAGTGTTCGACTTGGGGTAAAATTTCTTGATTGGTGGCTTGGTAGAACTTTTCCTATTGATTTTGAAACTGGCCCTAACCGGTATACTAAATATTTAATTGTATTCTCGCAAATTCGGTCAGTACTCTACAGGGGAATGGATTTATATTCCAAAGGGTAATCATTTAGAATTTGTTATAGGTTTGATTGCATTATCTGTCTGGCTGAGGATGCTGTTTTTGTTTTTATTTACAATTTTATAAATTATGTTTTTTTTTTTTTTTATTATGTATAAAATTAGAAAAATCATATTAACTAAAAACAACAATTTAATGTTTAAAAAATTCCCGCTCAAATTAATTTTTAAACCTTATAATTCATCTCTCATTAACACACTAAAATAAAACAAAAATAAAAAGAAAGTAAAAGAAAAAGAAAAACAAAAATTTTAATGATTTATTAAAAAAAAAAAAACGTCAAAGTAAAAGAAAAAACAACAGTTTGACAACACTGCTACGATATTTTATGTGTTTCCGCTCGTTTGCTTCTAAGATTTTTTTCCCCATATATTTTATATGTTCAAGTGTGTCAATAAATGTATAATTAATTGTATGACTTGACAAAATCCAAAAAAAAAGAAACAAAACAAAAAAATTCATTAAATGTAAAAAATTTGGTTAAAGTCGATATCCACCACAAACTAACTAACTGTAAATAAAACGGAAAGAAAAAACAGAAATGTTTCCATTTCTCGTAATATTCAACAAATGAATTGAACAAACTTTTAGTGATGAAATCATTCAGTGGTGGGTATTAAGAGTATAAAAAATAAAGTATTCTTATTTTTCTTAAATATAAACATTTGTATGAAATTTGAATAGCTCTAAATGAATCATAAGAAGAAACCGGAAAATGTTGTGCTCGCCTCGGGTCAAGTTTCTTCTCTGTGATACTTGCTTGTAGGCTAGAGTGACGGTCCATCATCTTGATATATCGTGCAGATTATTGTAATGCCTATGTCCCGAACACAATTATATCAATTTAAAACAAGTAGTAATATAGGCTGACTA